GAACCAAGCTCGAAGATTTTTCATAAAACTAACATGCATTGGTGATCAGTTTCGAAGCATATACTGTTCAGAAATGCCTAAAGGGTGCGACGGCGCGACTGTACATATGATTGTAACATAAGTACATGATCTGGAGACATAGAAGGCGATAAAATCTAAACAAGGTGTCAGGTATACTTCTTCCATCCTTAATCCTTTACAAATACCTTCATTTCTGTGCTGCCTTTTTTCTTTCGTAGCTCCCTACAAGTCCACTTGACATTCGGCACTCATGTCACCCAAAATCCTCGTCGCTGCGTTGGTTGCCTCCTTCAGTCTCGCTGTCAATGCCCAAGGTTTTCCAGGGCTTCCGACGAATGCGCCGCCTTGTCTAACGGCCTGTGTTACCACCGCCGTTTTGACTAGTGAATCTGGGTGTCCCTTGGCAGAAACCGAGTATGTTCTTTTACTTCAGCAATTCAATATAACAGAGGCTAGATAAAAATCATTTAGGGCCGCTATCCAATGCTTCTGCAAGTCTGCCCAGTTCCTGGGCAGCATCCACACTTGCTTTGGCACTTGCAGTGCAAGTGACCAGGCCACTGCCAGCGGACTTCAGTCTTCTCTCTGTGCTTCTGGTGAGTGATAATAGTTTATTTCTGCCACTCTCGTCAAATTTTAATCCTGATTTGTTTCTACAGTGGATGTTCCAACTACTCCGACAACCACTGCACAGCCAACAAGCACTGAGCAGACAACAGCCCCTAGTCCCACCATCGTCACCACTCAGAGTCCTGTGGGGACAAACCCTTCTCAGCCGATCAAATCGGTGACTTCAACTCCTATAAAGCCTATCACAACTGCCCAGACACCACCTGCTGGGTCAGTGAGCACCGCCGCAACTCCCACTACCTTACTCAGTGCTGACCCGGGTGCTTCTTCCTTTCCCCACAGTTCCGCGCCCTCATCTGTGTCAGTTTGCTCTTCCTCAGCCTATATACCTGGCCCTGTTAGCGTCGACAATACTGATATTAGTTTCCCTTCTCCCAGTGCTGGTTCGTCTGGGGGCGCAGCACCGGCCTCGACTGGGTCAGTAACATCACCAGCAACTGGAATTCCCGCTATCCCTAATACTGACACTGGCACTTCTTCTCTCCCTGTCAACAATAACAGCAGCGGCTCAGCAGCAGGCACATCCGCACCTGCTAAGGGGACGGCCAGCGGCGGCGCCGTCCCCATCATTAGCGGCGCCACCTCCGCACTTTCCAATGGCACCAGTCTTGTCAGCGGGATTCCTACTACTTCTTCGCCCAATTCTGCCGCTATTCCTAGCGCTACTACACCTAGTATACCGCAAGGTAGCACCGTTGGCAATGCTGCCGTTGCTATATGTGTCAACTTCGCGCATATAGTTGGGATGGTTGTTCTCAGTGGTATCTTTGCTAGCATGAATGTGTTGTAAGGAATGCAACACCAGCGAACATTATTGCCGCATAGATATGGACTATTGGTTTTATGTAGTTTATGTATTGGTTCCTTAAAATTCTGAAGTTGACGCGTATCTATTTGCTCATGTAGTCGAGTAAATATTATCTTGTAACTTTATGTTCATGTGTGGGTGATGAAGTAAAAGTACATATCTATGAACCTCAATCTTTTGGCGGCCTCAACTTAGATGGATAGATATACAGCCGCCATGTCCAAGATTTACTACTAGTAAGTGCAACTGTCATCAAACAAATATTACGAATGGCTTTTTATAAGATGTATTTTTCACGGGGCAGAGAGATTAAAATACCGCGGAAATTATTTCGAAAGGTGGAAATATACCGGCGTACAAAATGTTCCAACGTGTAGGGAGAATGAGAATACTGATATGATCATACTATCCAACGAGCCATTTGAAAGGGGTTCCGGAGTCCAGGTGCATGCTAGTAGTAATGTTGAGTGCGAAAATTTGAAGGAAAAAATGTTAGTAATTGGTCAAGGGGAAGATTGCGAACTAGAGCAGAAATGAGGGTATCGCGAGTAGGTAAAGAAAGAAATAGAGATGAGCACTGGCAGGAAACTTGATAAATTAGCTTACCGTGCTTGCGAGCCTAAACTATTAATAGACTGAATTCGAGGTATCCAGATGATGTACGAAAGATACATGGTTCCGTCGGATGCGTAAACAGAGGGAAGATGTGGTGCATAGGATGTATGGCGGCGACCGAGGGAGGTGGTAGCGTGACTAGACGTATTTGTGGAAATTGTAGCAATGTTGGCATCAGATATAGATGTTGATCTGTTGGCGTTCGTGTTAGACATATGTTGTGGAGTCGACATGGAAGTGGCATTGGTATTCAAGAATTCACAACTTCGTTCTTTGTTTAGTACCGAGTCCGTGTTGTTCATCTTCTCGTTTGAAGTCCTTCCCGCCGTCGTGATGTCTAGAGTTGCCTTATTAGACAAAGATGTAAAGTGTTTGGTTTCATTGTATCTTGAGACAGGCTTTGGGTCCGAGAGACAAGAGCTCAGTGGTTCGTTGGATGATGACGCGGTCCACTCGAAGAATGTTTCGACTTCGTCGTCATATCTCTTTGACATATCGTTCTTCAACAAAAAATTACGCCGAAGGTATTCAGAACTTGAATCAATGCAAGAATAGGGGAGGATGGCTGATAAGGCGATGGTGATACAAGAAGCGAGAAGAAGACGCGTTAGCGCCCGTGACAGCGCGTGACCTGTCTTCGGAGTCGCACCTCTACTATTGGCTCGTCCTTTGCTGTCGACGAATATTTTCAGGTATTTCGCGTCATTTTTAAGCTTGAGAAAGGCTCAAGGAGCCCACAATTTACCTGAAATTGTACGAAAATTCAATGCCGACACAGTCCTAATTACTGATCGTATGATTGGACACGAAGTTCAATATCACCTTTTTGGGACATATTAAATGTCAGAGCATACGCAATTCGTAAGTTCTGACATTTTCATTCGGGTTTAAAAATATTTGTTTACACGGAGCGAATTGGTCGAGACGCCTATTATGTCATCGTCATGACCCGCGTTCGCTAATTCCCTTCCTCCATTACTCTTCAAGCTGTCGGGTTCAAGGTCGAGCAGGGGGCGTGCGATTGGCAGCTACCACAGTGCTCGGCCTTGTGGGATCACCCGCGGCTCAGTATAAGAAGGAAGGAAGGGATTCCGCTGTTATCAACAAACCTTCGCAATGTATGTTCTTCGCCGCCGTCGAAGAATCCGCTCGCTAATTAGAGACTCGCAAGTCTCCCGCGTTGCTCCATTTGCTTTAGTTTCCTCTGGTGGAACATGGAGTCAACGGCGGGAGCTACTGAGGAGTAACGAGTGCGTTCGAGTGACAATGTGTGGCGCATTGTTAGCTTTTTGAAGGATCGCGTGCGAGGGTTGTCAGGGAAGGTCAGCTCACCGAGGCGAAGTAAGCCAAAGAACCAAAAAGAACCCCGTGAGAAGCATAGCAACGAAAGGAAGCTCGTCATAAGCGGGCAGGGTCGGTAGGAGATGGACCTACTCGTGGTTCGTGGCTCGATTAAAGCATTACCTGGGAGTCGACGTCGCGGGACACTCTTCGTTCCGGGGGTGCCACTGCCCTCGCACTCGCTGGTGTTGGTGATAGTGCTATCTAAGCTATGGGCCAATGGAGCTCTGACACTTGGAGAATTTACATCCGCAAGCATCCGGTTTTACTCCAGGCCCTCATGCACGGCCATTCGGCTTTCCAACCAGCTAATACCACCACCCACTCCTCCCTACCTACTTCTCTTAGGGATTAGGATATTCATCAATAATATTTTGCTTTGGATGGCGCTAAGCGCTGAGTATCACCTATCTTCACCGCCTTCCTGCACGCGCACTCTCCATCTTTGCCGCCTTCTGCATTTCTGGTAACTCTGCCATTTCGCCCTCATTTTTAACACTCTGATTTTTTATTTGTGACCTTAAATTTCCTGGAGGAGAAACCGTATTGGCGTAAATCAATGGAAGCACGGCGTCATTATGGTCTCCTATTCCGTTTTGCCGTCCCAGGTCTATATAAACTGCCTTTTCAGCTCACACCGTCCCCATCAGTTTCTGCACATGCCTAACCCCACTCACGCTCGTTATCAATCTACTATGTCTTGCTCCATTTCTCGTTCCACTGCTCGGAGTCGTGCTCCCCGTCGTCCCTCCCGCATTATCGCCGTCGAACATCAAGCCGAATGACGCAGGATCCGAAGGTTGAGATCAGAACTCAAGTCAGCTGTAAGGAGAGTCAAATCTCTTTTCAAGATTCTCGATATACACCTGACGAAAGTGAAAGCTGCTAGTGAGAAGCTGCGGGAGGCAATTGCGATTTCCCCCGTATTCGGGCCTGTTATGGTGGCGAGAGAACTTGATGAGGTATAATATCCTTAGTTCTCTTTGTTAATTACCCTCAACTCTGATCCGATGCTCAGGAATGAGTAATAGTAGGAAAGAGAATTTTGGTAGCGTTTACAGACTCGGATTCTCACATCCTGACTCAAGAATGCGTGGAATTTCAATTGCACTCGAGTCCGGTCTTTATCATTTTATTGTTGACAGTCGATCATTCCACTTTCTTTTTACTGACGCTCTTTTATCATCAATGCCTTGTCCCTTTTACTATTAGCGTTCTCTCGTCTCGTATCCTGGGGATTGTACTCGTTCTGTCTAGTTTCTCCCCTCTAGGCTCGTCTTCAATTCTAGCTAATAAGTAAAACTACTATATATAGTAGTCTCGAAAATATGTATTTGTGTTCTCTTTTGATGATAGAAGTCCTCAAACTATCAATTATGGTCAATTGACTGAAATTCTGACTTTGTGACCGGTACACCGACGGTGACGGTGACCGTTCTAACTCCACTCATTAGCACTCGAGCCGCACTCTTAGTATCTCCGCCTGTTGAATGGTTTCTAAAGCTTCACAGAATTATGTACGCTGACAGCGCGTGAAACCGATCTTAATTTGAAGTGGAGGTTAAAGAGGAAGCAAAAAAAAAGACGACCACCACAGGGATCGAACCTGTAATCTTTTGATATCCTTTACGTGAGACGATCGAAGTCAAACGCGTTGCCATTACGCCAGGCGGCCATATAAAAATTATGACGAGATACTCCACCCCGGGACCGACTGAGTACCTGGATACTTGAACGTGAATACCCATCGGGCAGAATGAAGACGAACTTTAAACAAAGTGACGATTGAAGTTCAATATACGGGATCCATCGAAAAATATTTATGGCATGTTGATAGTATTATTTTATTTTGAAATGCGGGTGAGATTCAGGCTTCAGGCCGCGGCTGAAGCAGGTGGAAGAAAGAACCATCAAGGATGGTCTTGAGGGGGTCCGAGTCCTTGATGAATCGGAGAACCTTGAAGCACTGATGGGTCCTTTTGATTTAAATCTTGAGTTACTCTCTGAGGAAGAGAAAGATGCAACAGCCGAAAATGGTGGTATTAGGACCAAGTCTAATATGTTCATTGAGGCATTTGAACCTCAAAGGGTGGAAGCAATTTAGCCAAAACGGTGTCGGAGCCAACCGTTTGGCACTACCATCTCTCACTTCAAGTTGAACCAACCAATAAATGAGACAATTTACGAAAGCCATTAGTTGTTATTGCAAGTAATTTGGTATATGCCGGAGACTCCTGCTAAGCAAAAAGCGCTGTGCCCACCGCGAGTCGAACGCGGGGCTGTTCGGTATTGCAGACCCACCACAACGAACTGATTTAACCACTAATCGATGGGCACCGACTAATTTTGATAATAGTTTATCAATCCCAACGGGACAGTTCAGAAGAATAGGAAAGGAAAGAAAACTTGCCTGGTGGGAGTCAGGAATATGAACGGATGAAGCGCCGGCTTAGATGGTGCTTTGTGACTCGGCTGTAATCAACACATGATGGCGTAGACTCTCTGTGTAAAATCTCCTTATTTAATATTCTTTTATGATTTTATTTGTAATTCGAAGGTTTATGGGCTATTTTATAAATAACCTAAATTTATATTTATGATAGGCGTTCCAACCGTGTTATTTTAAAATATTAATCCGTCGAGGTGTCAGCTCCTACTTGTTCGGAAGGAGCACTACTGAAAGAGGATCTTCAAGCATTACTCTGCCAAAGATCATTGACTTTAATTGCACTGATGGTGTCAAGAATCAACCAAGTAGTTGAATTTCCGTCGGGCACCGGAGCCTGTGGGAACAGGGCAGAGCTAGCACTCCCAATAGCTTCCACTATCATGTCTAGTTGGAAATAAGCTAAAAATGCAACTTGAGCACCATTATTTCGTTTATGACGCATACCGAGTATCTTCACAAAAGCCGGTATTACTGTGCTCTCGTATATATATCAAATAATATTTATGCAAAATTTCAGAGAGAACGGGTAAGAAATAAAAGAGATATCGCTGTTTTGAATTTTCCCGCGCTTAAAGTGCATGTTTCGAGCGCGTGCCCTACATAATGCAAAGCGCTGTAATCGATTCTGATGGGCTCGTCATGTGCAAGCCCGCAGAGCATAAAAGGATGTCCGGTTCATGTGTAACCGATCTGTCTTCTCACTGTCACCTTGACCTGTTTTACAGATGGCAAACATTCTCGAGCACACCTCTCTCGCGGATATAGAGAAGGTCAGTTATCATAGTACATGATACCGTGCAAAAGCTGTTTCTCTTTCAATTCACACCTAAAGTTGCCCTACAGATCCATGCCAAGCTAACTGCGTCCTTCAGAGCCGGGAAGGCCAGATCTATCGAATTCCGGAAGGAACAACTCCTGCAACTTGCTTATATGATTAAAGACAATATGGAGGCTTTTCAAGACAGCCTTTATAAAGATCTTGGTCGACCCAAGTTTGAAGGAACTATGTACATTATATTTTTATTTATTCGTTATATCATTTTGACCGATTGATTGATTGCTTAGGATGGATATCAATACTCTTGCAGCAGATGCATTATTTGCCTATGCAAATATCGATAAATGGGCTGAACCATACAAGGTTCCACATCACCCCAGATATTCTCTATTCAACCCTGTCATACATAAGGAGCCAAAAGGAGTGGTTTTAATAATCGGTCCTTATAACTATCCGTTCTTCTGTATTGGCGCATTCGTAAGTCGTTGATATACATCGCAATTAAGTTGCGACAGTAAAATGAAACGATAATCTTATAGGCTGGAGCTATCGCCGCTGGATGTGCCGCCGTAATCAAGCCATCCGAGCTCGTTCCTGCAACATCTCAGTTGCTTGCTGAACTGTTTCCCAAATATTTCGATCAAGTTCGTTATCCTAATATATACTTATTATTAAATTCGTCTAATTCTAATCTAGGAGCTATATAGAATTATTAATGGGGCTGTTGCAGAGACCACAAAAGTTCCTTTCTTTTATTGACCGACATAGAACTATTTTATTCTAAATCTTTCTGATTAGGCTCTCACATTGAAATGGGACCACAGTAAGTTCTCCGTCGTTTGATTTGAGATTGTTCTCTTATTCTCTCAGTTCTCTACACAGGTTCGCACCTAGTTAAACGTTTAGTCGCTCTCATTTAAGCACGGTCTCTAAAGGTAGCGGCCGAGTCGGGCGTATAGTAGCAGTCGCGGCTGCTAAGAATTTGACTCCAATTACTCTCGAGCTTGGAGGGAAGTCTCCCACCATAGTGCATTCCTCCACGGACTTCGAGATCACTGCACGCAGAATTCTTTGGGGTCGAATGACCAATTCTGGTCAGGTAAGAGACTCCAGATTTCGATAATATCCAGAAATTTGATCTTTAGTAGACTTGCTTGGCTCCGGATTATGTGGTTATATTGAAGAAGGATAGAGATCGTCTGGTAGCTGCAATGACGGAAGAGTATAAGCGATTCTACGGTGAAGATCCATTGAAGTCAGACTCGTTTGGCCGACTACGGGCAGGTACTCATTGGGCGCGCGTTAATGACATGCTTAAGAGAACTAAAGGTACATAATCTTTTAAATCACTCATATCGTGATTTAATAGGTTTTAAGGTCGAGTCATACTTGGAGGGCAGAGTATCCAAGAAGAGAAGTATGTCGCGCCGACAGTCGTGGTAGATGTAGACTGGGATGACTCTCTCATGGAAGAGTATGGGAAAACAAAGCTCCTTCAACTATTGAATATAACTGACCATGACATTTACAGTGAAATATTCGGTCCGGTTCTGCCCATAATTTCTGTTCCTAACTACGAGGTTGCTCTGGAATACATTAGAGACCAGTACGTTTAATTTAACCTGTTGACTCTAGAAGATGAAAAGACTAACACGTAACAGCGACGAACCGCTTACTGTGTACGTTTTCCATAATGATCCTCAATTTAGCGATTACGGTAAGAGTTTAAAACTAGTCTTGGAATATCTCTATCTAATATAAATAATACAGTGCGAGAGCAAACGCAATCAGGAACTTTCATCGAAAATGATGTTATTATCCCATGTGGCTGTATGTCCATGCTCTCTAGCGTATTATTCGATTTTCATCATCCATTATAGCACTCGTTTCGCCTTTGGGTGGGAAAGGAGCTTCAGGAAGTATGTATCTTTCTTTCTTCCATTCACGATTAACGTACTGAAGTGATATCAAATTGTCAGTGGGGTCCTATAAAGGAGAATACTCCTTCCTAACCTTCTCCCATTCGCGTTCGACGTATCAGTCGGCCTTTAGGTTAGTTGCCTCTAAAATAAAGCTTCGCGTCGTTAATCTAATCGATTTATTTTCTAGCCTCGATACTGCTGCCAATTTACAATCACGCTATCCACCATATAAGGTAAGGCGCGCATGTCGATTAGGGGCTCGTAAAATTAATTGGATCTTCTTAGGATGAACTGCTGGCTAAGGTTCAGCACATCGATATACCTTTCCCACGTCCTGAAGGAATTAATAAGGGCAGATTATAAGCATAATCCACCATCCGGGCTCGTTTGTTGGATCTCAATGGCTGTAATATAAATTTGGGATTTGTTGAAGTTTTTTTCCAGACTCACTGTATAAGATTCTATGATTGACAACCAGAAAATTCTACCTGTGACATCTATTCCTAAGACGAATCTCTGTTCATTCTCCAACGAGGCCCGAACCTTACAACGGCCCAATTAAGAGGCAAAAATGCCACACAAATGCCCCCCAGCAAAGTGTAGGTCCATCCCGGCTTTATCGCAGTTTGGATAAAGTCTATTATTGAAATCAATGCGGCCCCCATCGTGCAACGAACGAGATTGTTCTATAAAAACAAGAGCCTTCACTATAAACAGTTATTCAAAGCAAAAAGAACTCACCGCTGCTGTAATAGATGATCCTTGGGTGGGGAACAGATCAAGAAGAAGAGTTTGCGCTGTATTCATCAGGTTACTTATCATGAAGCCGACTGAAAAAGGTCAGATTTTATCCATGGTAGAGTGAAGAAAAATACGCACTGATAAATTGCAAGATCAATGGTCCTGAGATATGAACCTTAGCTTGGATAGCCCAACCATATCCTATGATGGCAAGGACATATATTCCTACCGATACGGGAACGGTTCTTAGTCGTGCATATTCAAAAGGAAAATCTGCCCGTTCTCGTCCGGCCTGCATTTCTTCATCGGCTTTCTCGTTTTTTTCTTTGCGTTTTTTCTCCGCAATCTTTCTCTTGATCCTTCGAAAGTCCCAGTCGAGGAAGCGTCCATTTAGGAAGCTACCAAGAGCACAACCTATTCCAACTGCGAGGAAACACACGCCGATCTGGCCGTCTGTAAGGGAAGGATATGCTGCTGCGAATAGACTCGATAGCGTGGCTGTAACGCCATAAAATACTGAGTAAACAATGCCGTTGTAAACGAGTAATAAAACGACACTGGGATAAGTGAATTGTTTGAGGGGATTGGCAAATTTCTTGGGAGGCGGCCGAGTCACAGAAGCGTTTAAGGGGGCGCGATGAGCAAAAACGGAAAACAAAGGGCGATTCCAAGCCTGTGGGGGGATACTCCCATTTCCAACTACAACTCGGAGAGTCTCTGGGTAAAGTCTGCGGGGGATGTCAGAATACATAATGCAGTGACGAATAAAAATACTTACATGAATAATATTAATGCATATACGCCAGAGGCGATTGCGAGAAACCAGAAAATAGACCTAAATTTATTAAATTTATTAGTCCTTCCTCGTATACGAACTCAAGATTAATTACCGCCAGCCCAAGCTACCAGATAGAACGCCTCCAATAATGGGTCCAATACAAGGACCTACCTACAGAAAAGAAAGGAATAAGAATATCACACTAGCAATATCTATTTTCACTTACTAAGGGCCCCAAGGAAAACAAACCTAAAAATCCTCCTCGTTCAGATGGTTCTGCAATGTCAGAAATAACCCCAGAGCCTAACACGATACATGGATCAGAGCATTCCATATATTCGCCTCGTTTATCCCGTCGACATACCTAGTGCAATTGTACTTGCAGAACCGGCAGCTTGAAAGCATCTCAGAACTAGCAACAGCCAATACGCGTCTGTAGGAACAAGGGCCATGCCAATACATGAAATTGAGAGAAGGATCAAGCAGACCAAAAAGAGTGGTCTGCGACCGATTCTATCAGATAAAGTGCCCCACACCATAGGAGCTGATAAATGAAATGTAAATAACAAATCCCAGCAAAGATAAAATGCAACTCAACAAAGTCCTTGAAAGACCATATAGATTGTGACGGTGAGGTTGATTAATTCCACAGATGTATGGAATGCATCT